ACTACTGTATATAGTAACGCTAAACTAAGCGTGAGTGTAAAATAGATTATTCTACACCCCTAATAACGCTCTATACAAAAATATAGTGACGCAGCATATAAAATATAGTAAATTTTTTTTGCGGGGTAGATATAGTAATTTTTTTGACAATGTACTAAATCAAAAACTTGGATAGTAAAAAATATATTTCAGAATTAGTATATTTTGTATAGTGTTTTACTAGATTTTGTACATAGCGTTACTAGGAGTGTAGAATAAGCTATTCTACACTCATCTGCAGACATTTTGTTTCAAGAGTTAAAATCTTGATCATCTTGTTTAAACAGATACTCCCTCCGTAATAAAATATAGGAGCGTTTAGATCATCACTACTTTAGTGATCTTAACACACATATATTTCTTACAGAGGGAGTACATTTTGTCCGAGAGTACTTGCTACTTGGACACAAATGTGAGCGTGATTACCTTGAATGTACAATGCTCCAAGGTTGCGTCTTGGGTCTTCTAGATGCAGAGCTTCCTCTTTAGGGATTCAGAGAGCCGAGCTGCAGAGCTTGTTTAGTTGTCACGCCCCTCTTTTTCTATCACAGCACTGGATCCATTATCAACCTCAAAACAGCAACACACTTTTTTTTTAACTCGAACGCACATTTTGCATTAGAAGAAATGCCGAAAAAAGCGCAGACAGTAACAAAAATGACAGACAAAGTAAGAGGTGCAATCAAACAAATACAAGTAGGAATAAAAGGGGGCAATTTCAGTGTAATCTAAAGATAATAACAACTGCCATGATTTAAAGGGACAAAATGAGATATCAAACGAAGCATATCAAAGGTCTACTGCCCACCGCCTGTTATTCTGTTCTTCCCTCAAGACCTCTGCCTCTTGGTCCACAGACCTGAACGGCTTCGGGGCTGCCATGGTGTTGTAACACGCAGACCTTAATCCTCAAGTCACTTTACCAAAGCACAGAGCAATAACTAACACAAGAGAAGAAATAAACTAACAAAGGCAGTTGCTTAAAAAGTTCGCATGATGTCTATCCTTGCATACCCTTCACAGTTAGGTACTCGAAGTTGATTGAATTGAAGAGCTTATTGGAGACAGGATGTGGCTGATCAAATTACCACGTTGTCTGATATTTTTGCAGAAAACCTAGTACAAGTTGTAAGCGGACGCAGCACTCTGAGGCCTTCTGCCCAGACGGTCAATCACCCATATACAGCTGCCAATGTGTACTTCTAATTCGACGTACTACTGTCAACCTGAAAGGGGGGAGATACTAACTAGTAATAAGCATATGCTGTAAAAAAGGATAAGAATCTGAACAGCAAGTCATATCTGCTAAAATGGGATTGATGATTAACTTTTTCCAGAAACAAGGAATTAGGACTACCCAAAGAAGAATTTTGAGAATATGTACTTGTTGATGTATCTACACTCTACTCTACTAAAACTCTAGTTGAAGCATCTAGGCACTTGTCATATCTACACTCAATACTCTAGTTTGTGCACAACTTGAATCCAATTCATGCTTCACAACATGAGGTGTTCTACTCTAGATGGCATGCACTGTCTAAAAGAGCAAGTGTTAGATTGCATAGTTGTAAGTTGCGGAACATGAAAACTACAATTTGAGATAACATGATTTTATTATGTTTTCCTTTATGAAAAATGACAAAACATAACTTGTTTTATGCACAATCACAAGACTTACATAGTTACATCCAAGGCTTTCTGGCCTTCCCGCTCGATCCAAATAATAGCATGATCCATCATGGCGTTGCAGGAAAGAACAACATGCTCAAATCTACCATTCACTGGCCTAGTTGTTTTGACCACCAGTGGATATCTCCAATACCTGCGTGGATGACACCAATGAATTTTGTTTATGAAAATATTGGAACTCTCCATTGGCAAAATAGTAGTAATCTGACTAACAAAAAATCTGAAGAAAGCAGCAGCATGTTAAATAGTTTAAAGCATTAAATAGTACTATGAGTTGCGGCATCGATTTGTAATCTTTTCACATTTGTTAAATTGATTCAAGGTGTATTGGTATTATAGTTGAAAAATATTTTATATACTCTAATCACACTGTAGGGTAAAACATGAAATATTTTGCGTTTAATGTACTGACAGCCTTACTACATATTCTTTTTATAGAGCTTGTAATGAGGCAGTGGATGACAACCTTTCTGCTATAGTGATAACTGATTGTTCATAGAATACCTTGGTTGGTTTCCCTTTTAATGCTTGTTGTGATCTGTGTTCACCTTTTACATGATAAAGAAATATGTCTTCCCTCTGTTTTGATACTATCATATGATTGTTTTTCAAGAGCCTACGTCTGTCGATTCCTTTTGTCTCCTCCCGTCAATAATGAAGCAACAGGCCCAACTCCTTTTTATGCCCGCAATGACTATTCCTAAACTCCTTTTTGTGGACATGTATGTGTCATATGGATCACTGTGTGGGTATGATGTTTGGCTGGGTATGCACTTGATAATATCTCATGTTTATATATGATGTTTGGCTGAGTATGCACTAGATAATATCATATCTATATCTATATCTATATCTATCTATACCTATTATTAAAGCAAGGTGATATTCTTAGTTTCGTCCCGTGATTAGTTTTTTTTTCTACCGTTAGTTGTGGTCACGTACGAGATGACGAGGTGGTACTAAAGTCATAGTCATGTACGAGGTGGCGAGGAGGTGGTTCGTAACTTCGTATTGTTGGTTTAAGATCGATCGCTCCATGGGGCTGTGTCTTGCTCTATCGGTACGTACTGGGCCAGGAGCCAAGCAAGCAAGTGGGCCTTCTAATAATTTTTCTCTTGTGGGCTACGAGTATATGGGTGGTCTTTCAGAATATAAAAAAATTACTACTGCTTGCATGGTTGTTCGATCTCGCGACCAGCTAACTATGCCAAACATTTCAAAAAAAAAAACTAACTATACCAAGCAAAAAAACCAACGTAGCTAGAGCTAGATGATGATTATGCTTGTCTAAAAAAAAATCTGATGACTATGCGAGAAAGAGGTTTGTTTGCCAATAAAATAGTCCCACCTCACTTTTTAACACAAAATCTGACCAATTTATATACTTGCGTGAGGTGCTTGTACAAACAACCAGCCGCTTGGAGAAGCAACAAACAAACGGTAATTCGCAAGAATTAACTTGGATTGGGGGTTGCATGAGATAAATAGAGGAGGGCACAAAAAGCCTAGGATTTCCGTTGCCTCCTGCCGTGTAGCCGCCATGCCGCCTTGTCTCATGTGGATCCCGGTCCTTGTCGGCAGGAGGGCTTTTGTTTTTAGGTATTTTTTTCGTTTTGGTAGGGTTCATGTCCTACTCAGAAAGACGAGACGGTGGTGGCTCTCTGAAGATCCCCGCCATGATGATGCTTCTAGCATCATCGGAGGATGTGTGTAGGTTTTTCTTCGATGGATATCATGGGATTCGGTCAGTGTTTGTTTTTCGTGGATCAACTTAGATCCGCTCTTTCTTTGTATATGTCGATGTGTCTACAAGTTGAATTCTTCCAATTTACGCTTTTCTTTATTGGCGGCAGTTGTTGTTTCAGTGGTTGTAGTCGACGCTAGATGGTCTACGGACCTAGATACATATTTAAATGGGATTGTGGGCTGTGTCTGAGATACAAGATTTCATGGGATTGTAACAGAGAGTAATATTTAAAGATGCCCTCGTGCCACTTTGGTGAACTTTTCGATGGAAACATATTAATTTACTTCTCCGTTGCAACGCACGGACATTTGTGCTAGTGTTTATATCATGGTAGTTCGGGTCTAATTTTCTGTCAGTTCTCCAGTTTTTTCAATAGTTTCAGGTGGTTTTTAGTTGCAGTCCCGAGTTTTATGTGGCTCGTTCTCTCGCTGGAGATGCCTGGATGAGATTCCTGAAGCATGACCTCACTCAGCTTGCCCTATAGGAATACACAAATGTGTGGCATAAGATTAGTTCTGTGAGCCTGCAGCTGGAGCCGCGGATACCATGGCGATGGACAGAGAATGGTCAGCCGCGGATACCATGCCGCCACACATGCACATATCGTCTTTTACCTCGCTTCAAGCACATCTTTCCTCTGTTCTAATCCTAGTTCGTCTCCAACTCTCTCTTCCATGGCGCTCCTTTTTCGGTGGTTGAAGGAGAGGAGCCTCCAGGCATGTATCGTGGCTGCACAGGAGGAGCTGCGATAGGCTGGCAGCCATGTCCCCACGGCCGTCGTCACCTGGACAGGGGAGCTGCAGCAGCGTCTAGCCCGTAATAGGTGGTGCATTGATACCATTTTTTTATGTTCAGTTTAGACACACGGTTCTAGAGATTGTGGATTGTGGTTAGGCAAATCGGGCAGCGATTTCGGATCGAACCGAGAGAATTCGAACCCCATTCTAGATCGGAACTCGAGGCCACTCCAAGTGAATCCTGTAACTATGGTTTGGACTGTTCTTTCCTCTCATTTACATCAATGAGTGCAACATGTTTCTACTCCTCTACATCAATGAAATGCAACATGTAACATGTTTCCTCCCCCTTACAACAGGTCAAGACAGACAAGGGCTATTGTAAAGCTTTTCATGCACCAATCCATAGTCGTAATATAACCACAAGAAGATCAACAAACAGGTGCTGGTTGGTACCGGGGAGACGAGTAAAGAACATAAATCACTGGACACCACTATGCTTAGAGCACATGGGCTTGTGACATGGTTTACCCACTTACACATACAGAATACCATGACATTAATTGGTTTTGATGGTAACAGAACTCTAGCAACACAGAGCAAACAGTTCAGAATGGAGGACTGACAGCCAACTACCAACAGAAACCATAGATACGCAGGAGTCTGTCATGGAGAAAGCAATATTAGTACTAGTACTCGAGCAGCTCAGAATGGAGGTCCCAGCACCAACGGACAAGAAACCATTATCAATACTAGCAGCGATCGTCGGCTCTACAACAAACGTGACCTCACACAGGCAGAGGCTTTCGGCCACGAGGCAGAGGCCATTTTTGACGTGGCAAAGGCTTGGCTCTACGACCAACGAAGCGTGGCTCAGGCAACGGCCATCTGTCATGAGCAAGAAAGTACAAGTCAATGAAGAGATCTATTCTAAACAATGTCACAGATAGATAGTATTAACATGTGTAAGAAAGAATACTTGTTTCCATCAATCGGTGCAACAGTTTCAGTGTTTCTGTGTGTCCCGCCAGGCAACAACCATCTGTGTGGTTGATCAGCCATATTTCAAAAAGCATAAGAGTTACTGAACAAATTATTTCAAACAATATGTAGATATACCGTACTTAAGAAAGAATACCTGTTTTCAACATCCTCGACAATAGTACCATCTGCACTAGTCCTGCAAGTACATCCAAAATCAATTTTACCACAAGGAAACGAGTTAGTTTAAACCAATGACATACCAGCTTAATGCATTAAAAAAATAGAAAAGGATAAGAGCACAATGCGAGGGTACAGGTAAGTACGGTATCAAGTATGATAGTGGTAGATAACAACAGAACACACCAATGAATTAAGTTGTCGGAATCATGTACCATTACATCACTACGTACTACACTTTGGGGCACACACAAGTTGTCATATCAGCCCAAACCAATTGGGCCAAAATTATATTTAAGTGAAAATGATTGAACGATGTGAAAACTAGAGATGAATATACAGATAGGACAACATCCCTAAAACCTACAAAGCTTCTTTTTTTTTTTAAGACATACCGTTTTTTATTGAAGTTCAACAAGAGGTGGTGAATAACATCCCTCGGCAGGAACGGAGTTTCTTCCTCATCATAAAAGTTCATTCCAACAAAATTCCCATCATTGTCAATAAGAGGCCCCCCAATCCCAGCCTAGCAAAACAAAAGGAACAACATACAAGAGTTACACACAGATACCGTTTGATAGATGTAGTGATAGCTTCTGTTAGTATTCCAACGCTAATAACTTTTTGGCATGTTAGAGGTACTGGGGAAGTCCACAAGAAATACCTTGGTGATTTTACAGGTGGAGACACAAAGTTCTTTGCAATCAAGTTTGCTTTGTTTGCCAATCAACACCTTCCCCTCAACAGCCATTAGTTTGCGACACGCAAAAAGACTACCCACAGCTATTACGTCCATAGATGAGGTAACTGGATGCCCATGGATTTTTATTGTACGAGGACGCCAGAATCCCATGATGTCAACAAGAGCAACATTGTACTGTAAATTATAACAGTTCAATATCCCTACAACTCGATATTGGTTTGGAAGGCAAACTTCAATCTGCAATGATAACGTTATGTTAACCAGTATATGAAATGAAAAGAAAAAAAATTGATAGCAGTTAGCAGTAACAACCCTCAAGTTATCATCGATCATGTGTGAACTGCCAGGAACTCTGAACAAACTTGCTGAAGTCAGAATTGTTGCAGAGCACGCTTCGCCCTTTATAAATACACCTGAGCAAGAAAACTTTTTTGCAAATCCTACAGAGATAATCATTCAGTTATCAATCATTGATCAATTAAAACATGGACAAGTAAGTACTGTATAACAGAGTCATCACCATTGAATGAAGCAAGTGAGACAACACTTCGATTCATTTTTGAAGCAAGAAGTTTGCTTGATTCTGAAGCAAGTGAGTAGGCACTTCGATCCATTTCTAATCCAAAACCTCCCAATGGTTTCCTCAAGATATCCTTCTTGAACGTATCATCGAGAAGATTTATGTATTGCCCACCTAGCATGATACACCAGTTAAAAGTGTTTCATAAAGTTTTTAAAGTGTGCGTGTGCAACATAATGTACTCAGCAAAATAAGTTAAAATGTATTGGCTGCCAAGGGTTCAACATAGGCCATTGTAGTTTCAATATGTATTCCAAGAAAAAAGGTGGGGTTGTGCCATCTTCCTTCTTCCATCGCACCATTTCCACATCTTGTTTAAGGGTTTGCCAAATACTCCCTCCGTCCCATAATATAAGAGCATTTTTTAAACTAGTGGTGTCAAAAACGCTCTTGTATTATGGGACGGGAGGAGTATGTCATATGAGTATGCCTCACAGTTTTGATATTTCTATGTTATCTTGTTTTCCTAACTCCAAGTCAGTTTCTGTGCCCATGGATTTGCAGACTGATGTGCCACATGCATGACTAAATTTATTTTTATGTTTTCCATAGCAACAAGCAGGCATTCACCTAGATTATCAAATAAATAAAATTGTGAAGACATAATGCTAGTACTAATCAGTCTGTATGTTTTTGCTATGTACTAATAGTATATGACCACACACCAAGTGAGTGGATAGGATCCCCATAATCTCCAGTTAGGTCATTTATCACATAAAAAATGGGGAGGCTACCATTCAGCTTGACCATGGACCCAGTATGGGGAACACAATCTAACTTCCCGTCTCATCTTCCTCCCTGTGGTTCAACGGCTGTCAAAGGACAGCCGCGCCTCTTGGGTCCAGGGCTGTCTCATTCTGGCCTAAACAGCCAATATCCTATGAAATAAATTTGCTCACCTCCTGCCCTGAGGAAAGCTGAATCTCCATAACGACTTTTAAATCTTGCAGTTACAGCTTCATCAACCTCTTCCTTAACACTGCAGCACCATGTAGGAAACTCACCGTGATAAATCCACAAAAAGAAGATATCAAGAGACACATACCATGCACAAAATGAGAGTATTAAACAAGGGAAATATACCAAATAGTTGCATATACTTTACAGAAGATAAATTTTAAAAATTATAAAACAATTTCTCCATGGGTCTGTTTAAATGCAAGTTTAGAGTGTAGCAGAAATATGCATTACCGCCAGATTAATTTAACAATCGTAATGTACTCCCTCCGTCCCAAAATAAGTGCCGCAGACTTAGTACAACTTTGTACTAATGTTGCACTAAATCAGCGACACTTATGTTGGGACAGAATGCAGCTTGTTGGGCTACAGGAAGAGATGGTCACAGATGCAGAGCAACAGGAGATGTAAAAAAAGTAAAAAAAACACAAGTACAAAATAGCTAATGAGGTAGTTTTGGGGATAAATTTGTAAATCTCGGAAGCTGCTCTTACACAAACTCAAATAGAAATAGGGCAGGGAGGAGTAGTGTAGGATGCAGTGAGAGAGAAGTATGGGTAAGCCAAACAGAGTGTTTGTTCATCAATACTGAAAGTGTGCATACCTGACCATCCCGCGAAACCACATGAATTCACGAATTGAAGGCCTTTGTACGTAGGGGGTCTTTCTTTGTTTGGTACCAGAGCAGTTCATCCCAACAAAGTTGCCATCAAAATCAACAAGGGGACCTCCAATCCCCACCTAGCACAAACATGAGGATGAAGTTAGGCATGAAAAATGCAATTAATAATTCCTGAAACTAAGGATATGCATCAGCACATACAATGATATAAGCCATTCATACCATCATGCAGCAGTTATATGTTTGAACTGTACAAACTAAAGCAGCTAGCTCACCTCATGGATACGGCATGTACTTAACATCTCCTCATCTGTAAGAGCGCATACAGAGGCAAGATCTACTCCACTTGTGGCCTTTAATTCTCCTGAATCATAATGCCGCCATACAGCTGCTACCTTCCTATAAGGCTCAAACTGCGTGGCACGATCAAGACTTAGATGACGTAGATGGAGGGGATCAATAACATCGTCGTTCTTGATTTTGACGATAAAAAAATCAACATATATCTCAGGATTCTCTATCCACCCAGTGACAATCTGATCATCAGGAAGGCGTACTTTAATCTGAAATGAGCACAGGGCAATGGCTGTACTGAATTAATCATTACAGGTGCAGCAAATATATTAGCATAACTAATAATCCAGAAAAGGTTACCGTCAAACTTTCAGTGATCTTCCCTAACCACCAAGTATAAGGAATCAAATTTATCGATGTCAGGAAACACGTAGCATCAGGACATGAGCTTTCGATGCATGTGCCCGTGCATTCGTGTAATTGGGTATCACCTGGAGAGGGAGAGTCATACATGCAAACTCAATAGCTGATCATCAAAAACAAGGTAACATGAGAAATTATTAACAGTATAATCACCAACCATCGAATGAGGCCAGCGCCACAATGCTCATGCTTAATCTGGAAAGTACTTGCTTACTCAAGGCACCTTTTCTGGATTTACTCAATTTCTCTACGGACTTAGCACTCAAACCTAGTTAATTGAAATAAAATCATGTGTGATACAGTTAACAGAACAATCTACCATGAATAGTCAGGAAAAGGAAGCAGAAATGGACTCACTTGGCCTAATTGCTTTCATCTCACTGTTCATTCTTGCCCTTGAAGCATCATGAAACCCTTCCTTAACTCTAACACTGTAGCGTAACGCAGAAAACTCAAAGTGATAAATCCACGAAGGCAATGTATCGCAACCACATACAAAAAATGAGCTAGTATTAAACAAGGGAAATTTAGAACAAGGGAGCCAAATAGTTACAGATATTTCACAGCAGAGAAATGTAAGAAAATCTTAAACAATTTCCCCATGGGTCTTCTTGTTAAATGTAAGTTCAAGTGCAGCAGAAATATGTATTAGCGCCGGCATTGAAATAACAACCTTAATCTAGTGCAGTGCAGATCTAAACAATTTAAGAAAAGAAACACATGAGTAGAAGAATAGCTAATGGTACAGTTTTTGGGATATAAACTCGTAAACCTTGGAACCTTCTCTTTGGCTTTGAGAATGACACACCTTGCACACAAACTCAAATAAAAATAGAAGGGATGTGTAGAATAGGATGCAGTAAGAGAGAAGCATGAGTAAGCCAAAGAGGGAAGGGCAGTTCATCAATACTGCAAGTGTACATACCTGACCTTCCCATGAAGCACCAAGAATCGGAAAATTCCCTCCCTTCGCACGTAAGCAGTCTTCTCCATTTTGGTACGAGAGGAGTTCATCCCGACAAAGTTGCCATCAAAATCAACAAGGGGGCCTCCAATCCCCGCCTAGCACAGAAGTGACAATGAAGTTACACAGAGAAAATGCATGCAATTCATAATGGCTGAAACTGTACAAAAGCAGCTCACCTTGTGGATCCGGCATGTGCTTACGATTTTCTCACTGGTTGGAGAGGCAAGATTTAGTCCACTTGTGGCTGTTAAAAATCCAGAACAGAAACAGCGGCATACAGCTGCTACCTTCGTATGAGGCTCAAACTGCATGTCACGGTCCAGACTTGCGGCATCAACACCAGACACATTCTTGATGTTGACAATGAAAAAATCAACATATATCTTAGGATCCTCTATCCACCCAGTGACAATCCGATCATTCGGAAGGCGTACTTTAATCTGAAATGAGCGCAAGGTGAATGAATGATTACAGGTGCAACATATATATATAAGCATAACTAATAACCAAGGAAAGGAGTAGAGAAAAAAGTTACATTCAAACTTGCAGCTGGGTGAGTAGGTGGAATCAGCTGTCTGGATGTCAGGATTGTAGCTTCAGAATCAGAACATGAGGTTTCAATGCACATGCCTGTGCATTCACGTAACTTGGTATCACCTACACACAGAGAGAAAATCAAGCGTGCAGACAAAATAACTGGTCACTAAAAACAGGCAATATGAGAAAGTATTAACAGCAAGTATAATCACTAACCATCGAACGAAGCAAGCGACACGACACTCCTACGCAATCTTGAAACTACTTGCTCACTGAGTTCACTCAGGGCGCCTGGACTGGATTCACTCGAGCTGTCCAATCTCGCTACGAAGGTACCACACAAAGCTAGTTAATTGAAAATAAAATCTTGTGTGATACAGTTAACAGAAGCGTCAATTTTACTATTGTGGATATGTAATTGCAGGAAAAGGTAAACAGCATGGACTCACTTGGCCTAGCTACCCTTTTGTAAGGGCGTTGCTCTTCATCGCCTCTCACCAGCCGGCGCTTGTTTTTCATCATCGATCTTTTCAATCCAGCCTGAACAGCAACGAATGAAATTCAACTAACACTGACTTACTAGTGGATTGGTATGGTTGCCAGACAAATGGAGGGATTGAGCTATCCGTACACAATAGATCGGAGGAGGAAACTAGGACAAAAATACCATAGAAAGTGCGCTAGATTCCTGTGGTGGAAGCGCTCTAAGAAATTGCTGGGTGGGTTGAAGTATCCGTATACAACCAAGAAAGAAAGATTTTGAATTAGATCTGGACAATCCAAGCAACCAAAATTCGACCGGAGGTGGAGAAGGGATACCTTCAAAACAAGCAGAATCTCACCGGCCGCCGCTGGATTCGTCAACTGAAGGATCTCTGCTCCAGCAGAACCGGTTTCTTGGGGAAGTGGAGGAGGATGCTGTCACGTCCCAATAATCGAAGTAGGGTTTGGTGGATGAATTGGGGATCCCGGAGAATGGGGAATCGAGTTCGTCTCCTTTTATATCATTGCCCTTCCCAGACAGCCATTGGAGGCCCACGGCCCCTGACACGAACCGTCCAGCCCAGCTGAGACCCGGCCCGAAACACAGTTTTTTTCCTTTTCGTGGGTCGCGTGGGCCGCTTCAAAAATTGGAGCAACTAGTTCAGGTACAGCGCCCATCATTTTGCGGCAAATAGACACCCCATCGCACACAGGATGCGCCGACTGGGCCGGCCCATTGCAGTGCGCCACGAATACAGGGTGAAAAATCGCAAAAAGGGAGGGCACCATGTAACTTCTTACTTCTGCGCCGACTCCGCTAGCCACTACGATAGGATGGGATCTGTCGCTTTAGAGCATCTCCAGCCGCGTCTCCAGCACGCCCTCTCTCAGTCGATTTTTTCACGCCAATGTCCAAAAAACGGTTCAGTCACGTTTCAGGAGCCCGTTTTTCGTCGGTTTGGACCGAATTGGCGCTAGCAGACCCAAGTCGAACCCAGCGCGTTGGGGGCGCCAGGAGTGCCGGGGTCGCGATTTTGGCGCAAACAAGGATGGGCCCGCCGAGTCAGCGAGACGCCACTTCGTCGTCCTCATCGCCTCGGTTCCCGCGGGAATCAATGCCAAGGCTGTCGCTCTGTCACGCCGGTCAGCCTCCATTGATGCCTCACGGGCGGCGCAATGAAGGCGCCATCAACGCGCATCCCGCCCGCTCTCGCCACGCGTCGCCCACCATGCAGCCTCTCGCCTCCTCGCTGCGGCTATAAAAGGCGACCTCCCCGCTGGTGAACGCCACACCCCCCTTACATCCGCCGCACAAACCATCAGGCTTGTTGTGAGAAAGCTCTGATTTGTGAGAAGCTTATACCCAAACCTGCCCCAAATGAGACAAAAAATTTACCATGCCATGTTGATGCTGCTCCATGATAGCATGCCAAGTTCCATGAATTTCAGATGAGTTTTAAATTTACTAGAATTTAAAAACCAGGTATCTCAATGTTTGCGGTTGAGTGCGGCGGCAGGGCGTTTGACATTCATTCTCATTTCTTGCATGGGACCTAAGCATGCAACTAAGGACACATATTTGAATTTTCAACCAATTTATATGCATTAGAGCATGTGCATGTAGTTCAAATTTGAATTATGCACATAAATGCATTGAAAACTCAATTAATGCATAAAAATGTCCAAACGAACCCCGGAAAATTCCAAAATTTAACACAACACTCCTGTTGTTCTATGTTGACACTAGAGAAAAAAATTGAAATCAAGAAGAGGCAACGGATATCGTTTCGTCCAGAAAGGTGAAACGTTCTCTGTCGTAACCATGAGGCTTGTTGCTGTAAGTGCATCTACTGCCCCTTAGTGATTTTGGTGTATTGAAAACTTATAGGTTAAGGGACTAATATGTTTGTGAGTGTACACAGACTCTATAAGTCGATGAGGAGTTTGATATTTACAATGAAAATCGACCCTTAAAAATGAATGTCTTCAGCTGAAGACTTTGGTTCTCCTGAAGACTTTGAAAGTGAAGTAATTGATGTGACCGTGAAGACTTGGATATTCATGAGAGGACTATGAAGCGTGAAGACTTTTGTCTTCATAGTTTCATTTTCTCTTTCTTGAGTCATAGGAAACACCATACTGTTAAAGGCGGTCGAGGTAATACTAAGGAAACTGATTTCCAAGTGATGCTCATCTCAAAATCCTACACCTACCCAATCCTTCGAGTGAAGCCATTGGAAGTCTCATATCAGTTCAGTCAATTTCTTCAGTGACAGAGACGAAGATCTTCTGGTCTCTGAGGAATTTGTTTTGACTGAGGAGTTAGGAATTCGCCAGTGTGAATTGCCTACACGGTGAGGAACATGATAGCCCTGAGGAATTCAAACCTCAAATCCGACCGTTGTTGTGCCGCGCGCCAGCTGTCCCAAAATATCCTACCACCTAACGGTCATATCAGCCAAGGGCATTTATGTCTTATCATGTCGGGTTGTTCCCTAGGCTATAGATAGTCGTCCCCTACAACCACTAGCTGGTTGGCTGCTCCAAGAGAAACTGACACTCGTCATTTGAGAGCATCCCATCCTCCGAGGACTTTGAGAGAAAATCATCAAGTGAGGAAAACCCAAATCCAAAGCCCAAACCTGCAAACCCCAAAGTGATTGAGCATCACTGAAGAGATTGTTCCTATGTGGAACCGACGCTTGTTACCTTTGAGGAATGTGTATCCTCCAGAGGGTTAGGCGTCATGGTCTGAGCATCCAAGAGGAATTGTTGATTGCCGAGTGACCAAGTCTGTGAAGGTTTGTGTAACGCCCCGGATACAACTTTCCATATTCGTAACTCCAACTCTTGCTTTTTCCGGAGATGCGATATGATATTTCCTCCGTGGTTGGGTTTTTGTCTTTTGTTTTACATTTTTGTTCATGGCGTGCATCTCATCTCATAGCATCATGCGCATTGCATCCATATGTTTTCATAAAACCCGTATCCGCTCGTAGTTGCTGTGTCACCCCTTGCTTTCGTTGACCGTTCCGAGACCAACCAGATTTTGTTTCCCTCTTGTCTGGCTTCCTAACCTCTCTGCACATCCCGCAAACCCATCGCGTGCGTCCAAAACCTGCCCCGAACCCGACCCGCTCTGTCGTGACCGATGAGTCCGGATCATCCCCAAACATCTCTAAAACATCTCCGTTTTTTCATTTGGACTTCCCTACCTATTTATTCTCGGTCATTTGATTTCGATCGGAGGGACTAGGTACCCCTAACCTAAACCACTTGCTATATATATAGGTCCAACCCTAGGATCTAGGGATCATGTCCCATCCATCCCCACGCCGCCGCCACTCCTCTTGTCTCCTCCCACCTTGGGATCTTCCCAGATCCATCTTGCAGCCAGCCGACCAGCCTCCTTCCTCCTCGGATCAGACGCAGCCGCCACCCATCAAATCCATCCATCCGCAGCACCACCCACTCTCTCTCGATTTCACCACCGCAACTGTGCCTCCCGCTCCCTCCTCGATCCAGATCAAGAGGAGCTCGACCCCGAGCCTCCCAACGACCTCCTCCTTGCCGGTGATTCCTCGCCGGAGGTTCCAACCAGCAATAGCAGCGACCAGGCCAGTCTCGTCGGTCCATGCTTTCCTTTTCTCCCGCGCTTCTCCATCGTCTCACCCCTCTGGCTCTTTCACCCCGTTCAAGCAGGAGCGCCGCCGCCCTCGACCCGTCTCCATCCGGCCGACAACGAGCAGTAGCTCGCCGGAGTTGAGCTCCACCCGATCCGCCTCAAGCTCGCCGCAGCTCCTCCCGTCATCCTTGCGCTGCTTCCAGGACCAACCGAAGCCCGCCATCGACAACCGCAGCAGCGACCGCCATGTATCCCCGGCCGCCGACCCGCAGCTCCTCGCCGCCTTGAAGACCCACGTCCCCGCCGTTCTGGCGTTGCCCTTCCTCGGAACCGCGCCAAGCTGCCGTCTCCTACTTCGCCGTCCAGGACCCTGACGGCCTCCCCGCGCCATCGCCCGTTCGGTCCTCCTCTGCTTCGAACCCCGCGGCGAGCTCCTCAAGCCCGACGCCGTCCAAGCCCGTTCCCGGCCAGGTCCGGACGCCCAGGACCTCGCCGCCCCTTCGCCCCGCTCACCGGAGCTCTACTCCCAACCACCGCCGCCGCCGCT